GTGTGACAATAGGTAGTATACCGGACATAAAATAACCACGGTACCCATGATGATGGACCTGGGCGTTTGAGCCAGTTAATTCAGTCAAATACGAAAATGATTAGATTCTATCACATCTTTTGTCAAATGCCTGATGTCATTTTCAATGTCTCATTGACAGTCAATGAGAGGACCTACCTGTCCGTTGTAATACCATGAAGGAGTGACTGGGTTCCTGCCGTCGTCTTGCCATGTCACTTCCAAGTTGACGTCCTCTCCAGGCGCCTGGTCCAGGTTCTGGGTTTCCAACCTCTTGATATATTTTGGAACGTCTGTCGTGGAAGGAAAACGTTAAATAAGCAAACTTCTCCCTAGGTACTACAGTTGCACTCACGACTCCAACAAGGTAATGATTTTTATAGGCACTATAGACACACGCGTTTCTGTTGACACCCTATCGTCTTGTAGCTACCTTCTATGATAAGCTGCGCTGTTTTGACGTCAGTCCCCTGTGTGTTGGTAGCCGTGACCTCATAGAATCCCTGGTCATCGACCTTCACGTTGGCCAGGGTCATGGCGCGGTTCCACTGCTCGTACTTTGCGCTCGCCGGGAACTCCACCGGATTGCCGCCCACGGCATCAACTCGGCGCCAGCCAAGAGTCGGGGTAGGACTGGAAAAAGTAGATACATGTATTTAGTTAGTACGTAGTTTTTTGTAGGTGTAGAGTGGAGGATTTTTGCTTTGTTTTTAAATGGATCGTAATCCATTCACGTTGTGAGATTGGATTGTGAGATAGGATTGTGCTTGTACTCACTTCCCATAAGCGAAGAACTCCATGAGAACATTGTCGCCTCTTTTCTTGTACTGGACTGTCTCGAACAGCACAAGTTGTGGTGCCTGGGGGGCTGGCATACCAAACACTCGTCAGTGCAAGCATAGACAAGAAGTTATGACAGATAAAGAAACTACGTACATGGGTCACTAAAGGCGCGGTCACATTTCCCAACCCGGGGCCCGGCCGGGCAGTCGTGTGGAACGAAAATTATGATATAAGACAGCAAAATACAAATGAAGTTTTAGAAAATTAACCATGTTGTTTTTTGCGGTTTTCCATACCAGTTGGCGAAAGGATACGTAGCCCTCAGGGGTTGGGTCTATGCCTTCTATTCCTGCTTCCAGCTCCTCTGTGAAAGCTTCCCAATTAGCCTTACGGTAGTTGAATCTTGGCCAAACACTCTCAAGCAGACAGCGCTGGCCCTATGCTATTCCACTGCTGAGTACTGCGCCGCAGTATGGGAGAGGTCACCCCATGCCCACAAGGTCGACGTGGAACTGAACAGAGCCTGTCGTACCATCACAGGCAACCTGAAGGCTACCCCCCTGTCAGCCCTGTACATACTGGCAGGAATCTGCCCTCCTGGCATCCGAAGAGATGTCCAAGCAAGGACAGAGCGGGAAAAACAACAGAACGACCCAAGACACCCTCTACACGGGCACCAGGAGACACCCCGGCGACTGAGGTCCCGCCGGAGCTTCATGACTGTCCAAGGCCTCGAGGGGAAGACACCAGAGTCCCTCAGGGCCGATCTGTGGAAGAGAAATGACCCGAACAACAACAGGGCACTCCCACCCCCCAGCGAGTCCCTGCCCCCAGGGGCTGACATGCCTAGAAGGTCTTGGGTCGCCCTGAACCGGGCAAGGGCGAAGGTTGCAAGGACAGCTGACAACCTGCTACGGTGGGGAAAGTCAAACAGTGCAGCCTGCAGCTGTGGCGAGGACCCCCAAACCCTACAACACCTGATGAGAAACTGCAGACTCTCGCCAACCTGCACAGACTCAGACCTCCAGGAGGCCAGTGAAGCTGCTCGGACTTTTGCTGAGAGAAATAGCGACAAGCTATGATGATGATCCAGGGGAACCGACAACGGCCAGGTTGTTTTGTAGGACTGAACGCCCTTACCAATTTGTAATATCTTCAATATTGTTCATACTTTTTTTGCTTAAAGATAGGTTTTCTTCATTGATCATACACCAAGTCATCTTGTCTCCTTCGTTTTCCGTCATCCATCTTGCATTTTAATGTATAAGGTGTAACTGCATTCCTAATCAATGTAATTGTTTTTAAACAAGTAAGATTGGTTAGGAATATTGTCCTAATAAATGCTTTTGAGGGGAGGGTTTTTGAAAAACGTCTTGGTTTCTGATCTATTCTCAATAAATAAAACGTGAATAAATGAAGAGAAAATAAGCAAACGACCTTATAAAATTCTCTGTACTTAGAACGGTGCGGATGATGAAGTTTTCCCGGTAATAATTCGGGTACAGAGCGGCGGCAGACGGCCTATCAGCGCGGACCAGCCTGCCCGGCTTCATTACATCCTACCGCAACCTGACGGGAGTACAAATCACACAGTCGGGCCCAAGACTGGCAGAGAAACCAGAAAACATGCTCCAACAGAGCATTGAATTTCGCGAAGGCTTTGATAGACTAAAAAAACTTTTTAGCACACAAGGACGACGTCAGAAGCTCCGGTGGTCTGTCTCCTTACCACCAAAAACGCCCTTAGAAAGAAAATTCAGGACCCGGTTTACAAATCACACAGTCGGACAAATCATACAGTCCACAAACTGGCAGACATCCCAGAAAACATTTTCTGATAGTTATAGGACAGGGGATTTCGTGCAGATGTTAATGGAGCAATGGAGCAAATAGGGGGGGGGGGAGAAGGGAGAGAGAGAGAGAGAGAGAGAGAAGAGAGACGGGGGAGACTGTATTGGCCTTTACTCACCATGCGACCTTTCATACCGAAGTCTCCTGTCTCCATCAGATTCTCTCTTCTGATTGGTTCACAACTTAACGGAATTGTGACGTCAGGAGGGAGTCGCAGGTGCCGGGAAGTCTGTAGTACGTGAGCGGTGTTGTAGGAGACCATTTGTATCAGATCTCTCTTCAATAAAGGGAAGCTCATAAACTGACCATCTGACAACTCTTCGGGGCCATTGACCGAGCCAGACATCTGCCGTCGGCAGCGTGATAACTCAAGTTTGCCCAGGTTTAATTCCTAGTTTCCTCGCAAACTTCATGAAGTAGTAATTCACTACTACAGTAAAAGTAGAGGCTCCTTTGGCTTGGAGTATGCATCACTTTGTTAACCATTGATATACCAAAATGAAGAAACTATTTACGGACGCAGACCATCTAAGTTGGCAATTCCAACTACGGATAGTGATAAAAAACTTACCAGAGTTTTGACTGTTAGCACCCCCCCCTTACGGCTCTCCCTACAGCAATCAACCTATTCCACAACCCGCTAACAGTAACCGTGACTTCTGCCCTTTCGCGCATCTCATATTCTCCTCTCTGGAAATGTCCGCAGGGTGATCTACAGCAATCTGCCAGCGCGAATGACTTTTCAAACCTCATTCCAAGACGTTTCCACTTAGCGCGGACGGCCAACCAGAGACAAATCACGGGCGGAGGAAGTGCGAGTGTGATAGACCGCGAGCCGCACCCCCCTGAGGTAAAGGGAAAGCGGTATTACCTGATCGAAAAACTCATCTTCGTCAAATATCACCCGATCAGGATAGGTGGGTTCGCCCGGGTGCTCATTACTGACCGAAGGGTGAAATAAGCTGTCAGATTAGGGCAGACGGGCCGGCAAATTCACGACTCATTTCTTCCAATCTTTCCTCTAATAATGCCATTTCTGGCCACCGAGGGGCGATGACGTCAGCGCCGCTTGAAGGGCACCTTAGCAACGCCCTGGAGACGGGGAACAGTCGGCGTGGGGGGCCGTCCGTGTACGGGGGTGGGGGGGGTGGTAGGCCGATGGTTACTGTTTCAAACTTTCCGAAAGTTTACAATAAGCTTCCCTTTAATCTTGTCATTGTGCGGTTATCTGACCTCAATATTTGATGCTATGATATCAATATCTAGTTACACAATAACTATATCGGACGCCGTGACGTTGAGCTGAGATTTCCGTGTATGACTTGATCCCTTCTTCTAGAATCCAGGTCCATGATATAATCAATACCTGTAAGGCCACGACTGTCTTCATGATAAAAATCCATGACCATGAACTGCATCTTGGCTACCCCGATATAAGCCCATCAGGGGCAAATCTGGGAGAGGACGGGGGTGGTTAGGCGAGAAGGGCAGGCTTCTAGCCTGGCTTGGAATGACTCATGGTGGCCGTGACTACCAGCCATTTGGGGGTTGTGTGAGGTGAAGGAATATGGAATATCTGCATGTGTATGTACATGTACTTGTCGATCTTGAAAGAGAGGAACCTTACAAACCGGGATCTCAAACTCCATCGATGTGTTCCAAAACTTAATTCCTGTGGACGCTTTCTGCGTGTACCCGACCAATCGCATTTGTTGGTTGAATGGCGATCAACATGATGGAAAATCCATGTCAATTTCAGGAAGTTGAAACAAGGAAGCCCTACAAGCTGGCATCTAAAGCTCTAGTGATGTGTTCGCAAACCTAATATTTCTAGATTCCGTCGACGCTTTATGCATCGCCATGTTCACGACCAATTGTATTATACAAAATAGGCAGACAAATCAGGCTGATCTTTTATGTACATCCCCAAATCGGCTGGCCTGAAATCGATTTTCCCGGGGTAAGTTTCCCCTGGTAGCAGTCTGAACAAAGGACACGGAGAAAGACAATTAGATTTCCCAGTTAAACCTGATCTTATTACCTCTCCACTTTCTATTTCTGCAGGTCTACGGGAACGTTTCCCCGCGCCCAGAGGGCGGGAACGTGACGGCAGCGGGGGAGACTCAGGCGGGGGAAGTCGACAAGGACAGATTCTCAGGACGAGGAGAGGCATCGCAGGCTTCCCGGCCAATCATGGTTCTCCAATTGACTCATCAATAACGGTGGCGATCCAAGGATCCTTTAAGACTGGGGAAATGAGAGGTCACTCCTCTGAAGTGCTAATCGTCAAGCCTGCAGGGATTTTCTTGTGCGAACTTCAGACATTCTAAATGTGTCACAACGTCCGGTCATTTGTTTCATACCGCCTGCCTGCAGGACACTGACCCCATCAGGCTGGGCTGTTCGTCGCGCGAGGGAGGGTTACTCACCAGTGTGGGGTTTCACTGATTGATAGCAAAAAAGGAAAATTCTAGACTCATCTGACAAGTCAGGAACCAATCCTAGGATCAGAAACCATCCTCACATTTAAGAGGTTTATCGCGTCGTGTGTTCTTTTGTCCTACCAAACAATATAGTAATCCTTCAAAGTGATAGATTTTTCTGAAGACATCAACAGGTTTTTCTCCGATGATGACCTTGCTATGAGCTGTTGGAACATCAGCCTGACCTTCCCAACAACCAGCACACAACCTTAATTACCGCCGGAAATGTCTGGGTGTAATTAACCCTTCCGCTGGTCGCCCATCACCAGGTGTGACAGCTAATATCGACAGCCCGCCCCATCCATCGCGTAATCGGATTAAGTGCCTGACTCGACATTCCCGGAGGGGGCGACTTTTAATAAAAACTGGTCCATGCTGATGGGGAGCTGTGCATGATCCATGCCGCCAGGGGCGCGGGCTTAGCACGCCTCCCCGGGCCGACACCCCACCGAAATGAAAAACGAAATTGCGATGTGCTTCAGCCATCCGGAAAGCCGGATGAAAACTTGACGAGCGAAGACTGACGTGCCCCGGGGCGTCGGGATCCGCCGGCTCATCTTGGCTCATCCACTGTGTGAGTGATCACGTGACCTGCGCGTGACGTTGATGACGTGGGAAGAGGATTCTCCTTAAGAGGACACGGAACAATAAAACTCGCCTACTCGGTTCACATGTCTACTTTGTGCGCTGAAACTCTCATAACAGTTTTTGACAGCAGAGGCGTGTAAAACTTGTATAAAGATCTTTCGTAAATAAGCGACTTTGTACATAGCATTTAAGGATAAGACTTGACGAGAAGACTAGAGTAGGTGTGAAGCATGGCCTTCAACATTACGTGCCAACTGACGGCCGCCGCGAACAGCAGCTCCCCGCTCGAGCTGCTGCTGCCGTGTAACGCCACCGGCGGCCCGGACGTCTGGTCGGCGGGCTCCCTCTCACCCGACGGCCGCCTGTGGAGGTACACCACCACGGCGGTGTGGAAGGACACGGCGCTAGGCATCGTCCTGGCCTGCCTGTGTCTGGTCACCTGCGTCGGGAACGCCATGGTGCTTCACGCCGTGCGGACCAACAAGGAACTGCAGACGGTCAGCAACTTCTTCATCGTGAGCCTGGCGGTGTCGGACCTGGTGGTGGGGACGGGCGTCATGTCGCTCAGCACCGCCTACATCCTGGCCGAGGAGTGGCGCTTCGGGCTGGCGCTCTGTCAGGTACGTGACGCTTTGACTAGCACTCTGTCAAGTACGTGACGCCTTGGATGGCGCTCTGTCAGGTATGTGGCGCTTCGGGCTAGCGCTCTGTTAAGTATGTGACGCTTCGGGCTAGGGCTCTGTCAGGTACGTGACACTTTGACTAGCGCTCCGTCAGGTACGTGACCTTTGACTAGCGCTCCGTCAGGTACGTGAAGTTTTGGGTGGCGTCCCATCAGGTATGTGGCGCTTCGGGCTAACGCTCTGTCAGCTACGTGGCGCTTTGTCTGGTACCTGGTGCATTTATAGCTGCCGCTTGCAGTGCTGTACGGAATAAACTAGAACCCAGACAATTACGGCAAGTCTAGGCTTTTCTCGATCACGATGAAAACTCAAGGTTTGATTTTTTTTCTCACAAAAATCGCTGTTTTGACTGGCATATATCGCAATAAAAGTCGACCGTCTTAGGCATTGATTACTTGTCGAATGCCATCCGTACGCTACTGCCTAAAATCTTCAGGTTACAAGGATTTCAGCATTCTTTAACCTTTAAAACAACAGGCGGCCTCACAGTAAAGCACACTGCCGTCCAGAGAGAGTCCCCGACTGTGTTTTCTAATCAAAAGCCGATCCTCGGTAACGACTTTTGTATACGTTTACAGGCACGAACCGTTTTAGCGGAGACGGGAATGCCACTTTGATGGGCTTTCATTATTCACGGTTCTGGTTCTGACGTTAACTTAACCATCTGTCTGTGGATGTATGGGAGAGATGTTTACAAGCTGATACTTTACCATCTGTAGGAAGGGTATAGACTGGAAAAACGGCCATGCTTATGGTGCACGCCGTATTCCCCAATTCTACATGTAGATTGTGACCTCGGCTTTGCTTAGCCTGGAATCCATCCCTAAGAGCTATCTGCCGGTTCTAGTAGCTATTTGTCGGTAGGGATGGATTCCAGGCTAGCTCCTGCTATCTCTAGCTATGGTATTGTGTTCCTTGAAACTTCACTCAGGCTGTAAGATGCTAACAAATTCTCAAGACGTGCCCCTCCATCCATTCCCTGCCTGTGACGTAAGGAAGTCGATATCCATAAGTCAAGCCGGCGACAGGGCAGCTCAAACCTTCAATCCTCCTGCTTTCAAACTACTTCGATCTGACAGATGGGGCTGAAAATAGGTCTTTATTGATAGTACTACTTATTTCGGAGCATTTATGAGCGCGCCCACCGGCAAAATACCGTTTGGGAAACCCTAAATCTTCTTCGTCAGCAGAACGTATGGTGCTGTAGGATTGACTATGGCGACATTAGCTGAGATTTTACTTTAATCATGTTGGTATCCTAAAACTCCCACTATGGCGTCCCCTAGGGTAGGTTTTCCCGGCTTCGCATGTCCGCCCATCGGCGAAAAACCGTCTGGGAAAATATTGAATTCTTTGCCGTAACCAAATCTTACGGTGGGTTTGGATAATATATGGTGACAACTGAGATTTTAACTGAAATTTTAATTATGTCGGTATCTTAAACCTCCCCGTTCTTGGATGTACGATTTACTTTCAGGGCAATTTTGTCGACTGAGAAAATTTATGCGCCTACAGACGGAAAACCGTTTGGGAAGCATTGAATTATTTTCCGAAACAAACAAAAAACTATTTTCGTGCGTGTGGATGGTCCATGTTGACATTAGCCGAGATTTTACTTTAATCTCATTGCCTCATTTCCTGAAACTCCCGCTATGACTTGCTCTAGGGTGACTTTTCTGGCTTTATACAAACCAACACCGACGGAAAGCCATTTGGAAGGTATCGAGTTCTTTGCCGTAACTAACGCTTATTGTGCGTTTGGATAACGTATGGTGACATTAGCTGAGGCTTTCCTCTATTATGTCGGATTACCTAAAACTCCTGCTATGGGTTTTCCGGCTTTATATAACCAACCACCGGCGGAAAACCATCTGGAAAAGTATTAAATTATTCGTCATAAGCAGAGCATATGGTGCGTTTGGATCGTCTATGCACATTTTTTGCCGTAATAATCACATAGGATTTGCTGAGACTCCCTCTATGGTTTGCCTCAGGCGGAGTTTTTCCGGCTTTATCCGCACGCCCGCTGGCGGAAAGTCGTCAGGGGAAAGAATAAATTCCTCGCCGTAGCACGCTTGTTTGACGCATTTGGATTATCTATCATGCTGACATTAGCTGGGATTTCACTCTAATGTCAGAATCCGAAACTCGCTGATGCACACCTGGCTTCGGGCTAAATCAGTCAGGCGAGGATATAAATCCATATTCAAGTTGCGCGTCTCCGAGCGCCTTTATAAAAACACGTCTGCCTCTCCTCCCAACCTGCACCCCGCACGGACACTGATCGATGTGAAGTGATACCCCGGTCAAATTCGTCATATTCTTGCTTTCTATTTTTTATTACGCCATCAAATTTGAAAGGGTTGATAGCATTTGTCTGAAACAATTGGCGTTGTACGTACGGCGGGCTCACAGGACGTGAGGGGAATGGTGTAACCGCAGACTAACAGGAAACTCGAATTGGAGGTCAAAATGCAAGTGTGCGAGGGAACTCGAATATTGCATGTACGCGACAGTGGAATTTCCACAGAATCAGCGAGAAATTCTCATTAATCAATGAAACAAGAAATTCACAACGACTTCAATTATTTCTTATTTCTATTTAAAGCACGCAGGCTTTTCTACGTCACTTTACCGCCCAGTGATGTACACACTATGCACTTGTCGTACGTTGAGGAATAATCGTGCAGCTGTGCTTTTGTTGTCATGCAGTCAGCCTTGAAGCAAATCGATTGGGATGAGAAAACCAAGGAAAGATCGATTCCGTCAAGTTTCTCTCCGGTGTTTAAGCAGATGTGGACTTAACCAGGCATGACCCTGTCCTCGGGAGACAACCGTACGTCTGCAGGAATCAATGTCGCCTCAGTAACAAGCAGCAGCGCTGAGGATGGATGGCAGCACTGGAGCGGGTACAGGAATCACAGAAACACACATACAAAGAGAGGGAGAGAGAGACAGAAGGAGACAGACAGAAAGGCAGAAACAGAGATAGAGACACACACACAGTGCATACTACACACACACACACACACACACACACACACACACACACACACACACACACACACGAGAGAGAGAGAGAGAGAGAGAGAGAGAGAGAGAGAGAGAGAGAGACGACGACGACGACGA